CGAATAGGAACAGAAAATAGTTCTCTTCAGGTTTGCTTTTGACCTTTCGAACAATATGTTTACATTTTCGTCCAGTAAGTTGTCTATTCCCTGTCATCGCTCCACAGTCTTTGATATACTGTGTGGTTGGATGCTAAACAGAACTAACCTGCTAAAACAGCCGTTTCTCCTCGCCTTAGTGGCGAGGAGCGAGAGCAGACGGCTGTTTTCGCAGGCTATATTCTCCTCTGCCTCTAGCCCTGGATTCTAATTTATCGATGGGTGACCACATTACGGAAACAGGCTCTGTCTTTACAGACAGACGTTATGTGTGCGTGATTCTGTTTAACGTTATAACCTTATGACCTAGTTGTGTTGTTAAATACAGTAGAAGAAAACCCACAAGTCATATTATCCTCGGAGACCCAGGGGCAGATAGTGGGGGCAAAGGAAAGTCTAAACGGGCGGAAAAATAAGGCACGAAGAAAAGTAAAGAACGGCGAGAAGAGCTCTTCTGGCCGTTCTTTACTTTTCTTTTGTGCCATATTTTTCCGCCTGTTTAGACTTTCCCTCGCCCCCACTATCTGCCCCTGGGTCTCCGAGGATGGGGTTTATCATGATAAGCTTTGCAATCTACATTTAATCGGAGAAGAACTCTTGTTCAAGAGCAAAACTGAAATTAATTGTGAACGCTGGAAAACTATTTTCAGCTGATTACAGATCATGATAAAGGAATTTTATGCAACAGGACCATAAACGGAAAGATAAACATTCACAGTGAAAGCTAATTATGATCAGCAGTTAATATAAACAAACCGCAAACATTCAGGTCGTGTCACGAGTATTCGTAGACATACCAACCAACATTTCTAGCTCTTTCCCTGGAAAGCAGAGGGCTGAAAACGGCGTTCCGTCCACTTTTGTAAAACTCATAAAAGTGCTGGCAGTTGTAAATTAAAGTTAAATTTCGCGGGCCTTGTTGGGAAATCAGGCTTAGATTGATATACAGAATCGAAAGTTCGGCACTGTCAGATCATAGAGTTTCCGTGACTTATTTTCTTCTTATTTTCACTTGTGTTTGGTAGTAAGATAAATCACCTTTATACGGACCAGACGACGTTGGGAGTTATAACCCCCAAATGAAGCATGTAAAAGATATGGTTAGATATCATTCTAAATGCGACAGTCAAATAAGGCCCGTTTCAAACGTCGTGCTACTGTCGTGCCGAACTCAATTGATCGAATTAAAATGGACTTTACCACGGCAGTAGCGCGACGTTTGAAACCAAGTACAAGCCTTGCCGTGCTACACAGCAGTAGCTCTACTTGGTTTCAAACGTCGTGCTACGTACCGCCGTGCCAAACTCAATTTGTAAATTACAAATGCATTAGAATACATTTGAAAGTTTGCTGAACCGTTTCTTTATTATTGTGTTTTGTTTTCGGCAACAGCCGTTCTATTCGACTGAATTAAATTCGACGTCTGAAACCAAGTCGTGCTAGTGTCGAGCTACGGTCGAGCCAGCTTAGCAGGGCAGTAGCACGACGTTTGAAACAGGCCTAAGACAAATAAGAGCTATATAACAATTTTAATGGCGTTAAAAAACATTGTCATTGCTTTCTTCTTCTTCTTCTTCTTCTTCTTCTTCTTCTTCTTCTTCTTCTTCTTCTTCTTCTTCTTCTTCTTCTTCTTCTTCTTCTTCTTCTTCTTCTTCTTAACGAGACGAAAAGCTTTCACGCCGTTTTCATATGTGCGGCACCCGTACCAGACTCATCTCTAATTCTAACACCGGTGAACATGCTGAAACTTTCCACTAGTTAACAGAGAAAAACCCACAGTTGAAATGCGAAAAAATGCAAGAACCTTTATAAACCTAATAAATGCGGCGGACGGTTGTCACAGAACTTTTGTCAGGCATCGCTCTAATGATGTTCCACAAGCTCACTTAAATAAACTCTGAAAGGAAACCAATCCTTTCTGTAATAAAAATATTTACAAAGCCGAGGTCTTCATGGATGACATCAGCCGTTATCGGGGAACAAGTCAAAAAACGTTTTGTTTTTTTTTTAACTTATGAGTTCCATTTCTTGGAAAGCCCCTTAACGGAAGTGATGAAAAGTTTTAGAAAGGAAACAGTTTAGGCTATTTTCGGAATTTTTAATTCAACATTAGTCGAAATTCAAGGTGCTCCATTAGTCGAACAATCATTAGCATGAATTGAAAGTGAAACAGATAAATTCGATCATTGTGTAGATTGAGTTTAAACGTTCCAGGGACACAAATCTTTCACTCGTTAAAGAACAAGAATCAGTCAAGAACTGAATCCCAAATTAAATTTTGTACCCACTACTTCTAAGAACAGATATTGTATATAGTACCAATTTAGAACTGATCAAAAACAAATATTTCTTATGCTTGCCTCAAAAAACAAAAACAAAAAAATGGGGCAGATGCCGGCTTTTCTCGTTCCAGACGTCTGTTTGTTTGGTTTCAAGAAAACCCCCTTTCTCATGCCCTCTTCCAGTTCTTCCTCTTTGCTTAGAAGACCTCATCGGCGGAACTAGAAACTGACGGGTTACGATTAAAATTGATGATCAACAGAACAATTAAAAATACTCATGCAAAACGGAGAGAATGAGCTGCAATCATCGTCAAAAGTGTTGGGAAGGTTGCTTTTTTACCTCTTTTTTCCTTTCTCCCATCGCCCGTGGCCCAATGTTGAGCAAAACTTTAATGTTTGTGCGCGTAATTGTTCTGTTATATCCCAACATTGAATGGGGGGACGGGGATATTAAGCAAAAGAGAAAACTCTCTTTTTGGGGGATTAAAATGGTCTAAAATGGACTATTGTTAAGTCTGTGTACAACCCTCTTAACTACTTTTGTCTGGGATTGTAGCTCTCTGGTTAATAATCCGGTCCACCCAAGCGAAGGTAAAGAGTTGTCCAGCTATTCTCTCATGTCTTTTTTATCTACACAAAGTCAAATTAAGCATATTCAAAGGAACAGATAAATGTTCTTGTCAATCTTTCTCCCATTGTAAATCAGTATCTGAATGTTTCTCGCAAGCAGCAGCAAGTGATTAGCTCGTGATAAGACATAAAAATAAATACCCGATCTTTTAAAAATAGTTTCCTTACGTTGTATAAAATAAAGTAGAATAACTGGACATTGACACTAAATCGAGAGGACTATTTGCTGCGCCAGGTGTTGAACCCATAGTAAGACTCAGTAATCAGTGGGAGTTTTTTTATGGCCAACTGATTTACAGGCGCACCCAACGAGAATATAGTTGAAAACCACTTAAACATAGCATTGTCAAACGTATTTTGGTATTTAAGAGGTAGATATATGCATATTTTTATCTCCTAGAAACAGTTTTTCATCTGTTCGGATTTCCTAGTTGAAAGTCTAGTCATCCGAAAATTATAGGGAGCAAAACTAACCTTCTCGAAAATTTCAGCCAGAAAAAAGAATCCCTAAAATTCTAGTTGACCTTTTTTAGGGTAAGAATCTGTTAAAATGCTCAATTGTACCATTTTTCAGATGTTCGAAAATCCAAGGAGAGGCCGGCAAGCCGTGAGAAATTTTACAACAAATGTTCCGAAAATTCTAGATCTCAAATCATCTTCCGAACGAATATTTTCCGAAAATTGACGTTGGGTGCCCCTGGATTTAGATAATAAACGCGATTTTTAGAAAAGCTCTGCTGAATACTAAGCTCTACTAAATCGTTAAAAAAGAAATTTGCCACGACAAATTTACTTTAAAACAGTTATCTTTATAGGATTGTGGACGAATGTAACAGTTTGCCTCTTGAGGTCCGTTCGGCACGCAGTGTTGACATTTTTAAATCAAACGTTATGAAATATATTTCAAAATTGTGAATGTGACTTCTGTTTTTCGTTATTTATTTTCAGCCGTTAGTGTGTGAGATCTTATTATAATTTTAGTTTTATTTAAATATCGTTATTATAATTTTACTATATGAGGTAATTGTTTTTACATGGGGTCGGGCTACTCGTTTACAAATTATCCTTATGGCATTTTAGATTTTTCGTTATTATTGTTGTAGTTTTTGCCATTAAATTGTAATAAACAAATAAATAATAAATAAATAAGTAAAATTTCGTTTATTCCGCATTATGGATATCTGACGTAATGGTTTTCAGGGGCACCCAACGACTGTCTTCTGTGAAATAGCTGTTCGGAGAAGCAAATATCGCGTGGAATTTTCTATTACTTGAGGACGGCTAAAAATTTCTAAATGACCATTAATAAATTCCCTACGATTTACTCAAGTTTAATTTTTTACATTTCACTGCCCAGGTTAGTTTTTTTTTTGGTACAAAAAAGGAAACCTAAAACTTTCGGATTCAAAAATGTGATGGAGAGTGGAATCAGAAAAATTCTCACTTTCGTAATACGTAAAATTGCATCTGAAATATTCGGGAAAATAGTACGGAAGCGCTTGTAATTTCGAAGTTCCCCTAGGATGACCAAACAGGTACAAATTTTATAGCGCCGCTTAGGATGCATTTATAGAGATTTAAAAGTAATCTGGATGGCCCAAAAAGTGTTTCAATGTATTAGTAGGAAACCGTCGATGGCCGCTCCTGAGTTTTGTGGGGTGTTATTCAGTAATAAAAGTCGTGGAAATATGTTAACTAACGCTGGGGAATATTGTAACTGAATTCTTCACTCATGCATTCAATCACGCTTTGGAGGTTTGAATAAATACATTTTTCGAGTACGTCAAGGGCCTTTGATTGGAACCACTGATTGAAACGTAAAAATTATGGCTTTTTATGGAAGTTCGCTGGCAATCTTTTGAGAGCTCGCGGACGCCAATCTTGACCCTGCATACTGATTGGTCAAGATAAATGACATGCGCATAATTATGCAACCTTTCTTGCACTGGTGGGAGGAAGGAAACGGAGAAGACGGCTTGGTTTAAACTGACTGTGTTACTATTGAAAAGAGTTGGAAAAAGGAACCGCTGTTAGTAAATTGAAGAATCGATGTTGCCACTAATGATGGATCCTAGAATTGGCTGGATTCAACCGGAACAAAAGGGTCCAGCATATACAACATGGAGCGACATAATGATTCAGGATGTCACTTCACCATCAACGAATTTGGAAAATCTTCGTGCTGGAAGGCCGGACTATATCCCTCTGAATCATAAAAATACTTTTAGTGACGCAAAGGAGACTACTGCGTTAAACAACTTGATAAACGCAGGCAAAAGTCATGTTAGTAAGAAGAAAAAAGTTGAAAATCGAACCCCGTGGTGGTCGAAGGAAAAAAGCTATCCAGACGGCCCAGTTGGGTAAGTCGCCATTCAGGTCATTTCAGCGAGAATTCTTACAACGAAGAAGTGACAACCCTCACAATTGAAAGCTAATAAGTTATTCTTTCGTTTTATTAAGGCTTCATGAGGAAATTCTGGACTTTCATAATTTTATGAAACCTCGTCCTGCTGAACATAGGATGCGACAAGAAGTAATATCGAGAGTTCAAGAAGTCATCAAACAACTCTGGCCTACAGCTGAAGTACGTAGGGAAAATTCACATAATTTGCTCAATTTTTTTGTTATAAATTCAAAGTAAGTTTGCTGAATGGTGTAACAAGTATGGGAAATGACGAGGTTTTGTTTTTATCGAACCATTTCAGGTGGAGGTCTACGGAAGCTTCCGAACGGGCCTCTATTTACCAACCAGGTGAGAGCGAGTAGCAACTTTTTGTGAGTCGAAATAAAAGGTGTTTATGATCTGTAACGTTTTGTGCCCTATTTTAGATTTTCCTCTCTTGGGTCTTGCTATCGCCAGTGTGAAATGGATCTAATAAAGATTATCGAGTAGTGAATGGATATTACTCTACAACCGTTTAAATGAAAAGCAAAACATGTACTGTATCTTTTCAATAAACCGTTTGTGGTGAGCAGAAACAAGGTTTTCGTGTAAACATTATGCAACCTGAAACCCCCGGAGGATATCTCTATTTTGAACATAAGCAGTTTCAAATAGTTCTGATGTCACAGTACCCAATTGTAAGTAGTTGTTATTCATTTAAAATCCGTTGCTTCTTATTAGTGACATCGATATTGTCGTCTTTGGCAAATGGGAGAGATTGCCTCTATGGACGCTTGAACAGGCGCTAACTGCGAACAAAATTGCGGAGGTTTCGTCGATCAAGGTCTTGGATAAAGCATCGGTGAGACTAGTTTTTTCTTTTATAGTATATTTGTATTATGAACACAAATATCGCGACAACTCGTGATGATAAGCTTATATACAAGCTTAATACTCACTAATAAAATACAGAATAAATGAGGTTAAATTACCCCCGATGTTCTGAAAGCTTGTTATGTATTAAAGATGCACAAAAGCTTCTTTTCTGCTAATGTTTTCGAAGGACAGCTGTTTTTGTCACTCAGGAAAGGTGTAACAAGCTTTTTCCTTCGCGAATAACAAATCTGGAGGAAGTGACAACGCTATATAAATCACAAAATCGTTAACATCGCACGGGAAAATACTTGTTGAATATTCACGTATTGTACATGATCCTACTTATTTCGGTATGCAAATTCAATGCGGGTTTGTCCCTCAGTGAAATTTGAATATTTATGACCTTTGTTTTCAGACTCTTATTCTTTTTGCCTGGGGTGTTATGTATAATACTTTGTCTATCGTCTACATGTAATGCCTCAAAAATTTCAACTACAAGATTTAAGCACAAGATTTTTGTGCAGGTGTGTCATGTTGAAGGACTTAATGTACTCTCACAATGATAAAAGAACATCATTTCTGTTATTTTTTGTCATAATGTTAAATTATTCCATATTTTGCCACTCATGAAGAATAGCCAGCTGTAGTTGGGGTTGTTTGGGGGCTTTTGAAAGTACCTACATCGTTCAGGGTTTTTGTTCACGTCAGTTAAGTAGTGTCATAATTTGCATTAATTGTATCAAGTGGAATTGTGAATATTTCAGAAAATTTTAAGTAAAATAATATTTACACAACTTTTGGCATCAGTTGAAACTTGTTAAATTTTAAGATTCTTCAGCCCAAATAAAGGATTTATACATGCAGTTTGATAAATGTAGTGGATATGTCTTAGGTAAAATCCCCTTTCAGGTTAAAGTAGTATTCAGCCTAGTTTGATACAGAATTTCCTTAATTTCTTGGCCCTAATTATTTATAGCAGAAAAAGGAAGTTCTGTTTTTTCCTGAGAAACAATTTTACCCCTAACAGGTATTGATATGACATTCAGTCCAGTGTTATTACAAGGATAGGTGTTCCATAATTATCTGTGCAGAAAGACCTTTTGAAGTCTAATTTCTAAATGTTATATAGAGCCAGAATGGCTTAACCAAAAACTATAACTTTTTTAAATAAAAAAAAAATATGCGTAAAATGATGACGAGCAAAATTATTCCCTAATTCACGAGTATACCATTTGATTACCTTTTAATATCATTGGTAGTGCTTCTGATTGGCTGCAGCAAATTTTCATTTTCAGGGCTGAAAATAACGGCCGGTCAACGGACAATGTCCAGCCCGATCACGGACTTGACCGGTCAAACTCTGGTCATTTTGACCGGTCATTTTTGGATACAAACATTTTATTTTCCATACAGTTGTCGCTTAATGCTCTATAACCCTGCAATGATTTCTTTTTTCTTTGGCGTTTTTTGCTGCTTTGCACTAAACCCTTCTAAGAAAAAGAACACCGCAATAAATTAATTTCATGTCGTCATGTCGTAATGAAACGCAACAAAGTGAATAACAAACTGAGTTGAAAAGTAATGCAATGTTGCAAGTCGTGCTGTACTTTCTGCTTTGCTGTAATCTGTAATGTGACCTTCTTTGGGAATTCAAAGGAATTCAGGCAAATTGATCACAATTCTCTACAGGTCGTCCTGTGTTTCTCCGGGAATAAATGTTAGTGCATCGATTAATAATAATTTCTTTTATGTTGAACATGAATCTCATTTGCAGACTCGATTCCAGAATGGTCTGATAAAAATTTAAGATAATCAAGAGGGAAGGTTGTCGTCTATCTCGGCGCTAGATTCTCGTTCTTGTAAACAACTTTATGCAAATTTCTGTTGACATTTGAGCCCTTTGCGATAAAATGTTGCGTGATGACTCAAATTTATTTATTGACTTCTGATGATAAACACGCTGTTTGTGGAACAAACTTCTCGCCAATGCAAATCAACTTCTTTGCCGAAAATATTAGCGACAATTCTTCTTTGAGGAGGTGACTTTCGATCACGTGCCAGGCAAGGAAAAAGATCAAGTTTCACCGATGTTCATTTCGGAACNACATGAATCTCATTTGCAGACTCGATTCCAGAATGGTCTGATAAAAATTTAAGATAATCAAGAGGGAAGGTTGTCGTCTATCTCGGCGCTAGATTCTCGTTCTTGTAAACAACTTTATGCAAATTTCTGTTGACATTTGAGCCCTTTGCGATAAAATGTTGCGTGATGACTCAAATTTATTTATTGACTTCTGATGATAAACACGCTGTTTGTGGAACAAACTTCTCGCCAATGCAAATCAACTTCTTTGCCGAAAATATTAGCGACAATTCTTCTTTGAGGAGGTGACTTTCGATCACGTGCCAGGCAAGGAAAAAGATCAAGTTTCACCGATGTTCATTTCGGAACATCAACGTAAAACAAGCATGTGCAGATTTTGTAAAATAACCCAATTTTTTTCTTTCGTAATTTCTTAAGTTTGCTGAACGGTATGTGTATTCCGTTTCCTGAACCTTGAGAGTTTGAAAAGGATTTACGCTTCACTTTTTACCTCTAGAGACCTCAGACACCGCCGTGCAATGATACTCAAGGTAGAACGTAACATTAAAATGCGCGAAAACCACAGAAAGGAACTCTACAATATGCGAATGCATTTTTTACCAACTTGCTGTCAAAAATGAGAACGTCAATGTAGTAATAACGATCTATTGCCAGCATAATTGGATATTCCTAAGGCAAAAAAAAATGTATTAGTATTCATTATTTGACCGGCCAGAATCGGGGTTTATCCGGGCTAAAAAATATGTGGCCGGTCATCATGACTGGCAACCTGCTGTCTATTATTTTCAGCCCTGATTTTTCAGCATGGAATTTCTGCATTTGTTCCTCAGGCATAATTTTTCAGGGAAACTATTGGTGGCATTGCAAATTGTCAATTATGCTGAGTAGCCTGGAAATCACAGTGTTAGAGCACTGGGCTCCCTGAAATTTTTCTTAGAGCACAGCCTTGCATTTTTCCTACCAGTCATGTGCAAAGTAACTGACTGCTAGCAGAGCATTACATCTCACCTATTTTTATAGTGTGCTGTGTATCTGCATTGTGTTTTTGATATAAAGAAGCATTTCCTTTACAAGAAAAAATCTGAGAATGTAAAAGTGATGTGCTATCTATGAACAAAAATTTCTTGCAAGAATTTGTAAAGATTTTACATTGAATACAACTGAACAGTCACCCACTTTGCACTTATTCAGCCATGGTTATAAGGTAAGGGGTGATATACAGTTGGTGTTGTGGTGTTTGTCTTAGAGGGGGTTAACTGTTTTGATTTGACAACTGGCTTGCTTCAAATGATGCATTTGCTGCAAAAAGTCTTTACCTGTACATAACAGTTGGTGGGCTTGTTGCTACACCATTTTTGGCCACTATACATCACCCCAGACAATTACAAAATATTTTTTCAATATAATATAGTTAATATAGTAAATATATAATTGAAGATGATTTTTTAAGTGGTCCTTGTCAGGGTGGGTAATTGCAGAGCTATCTTGTTTCTATTGAGAGAACTGCAAAATGTTTATTGTACATGTAGTTCTTAACTTTGAGTGTGTTGGCTAAGACTTGTGATGCTGATCATTTGAGACTTTTCTTGTGATAATCATGATATTTACTAAGTTTAGGGTTTAAAACTGAAAGTGGCAGAATTATAATTTTGTCTATCATGTGATTGACAAAGATGCCTTTCATGTGATAATCCAAAATACTGCACTATTCCAGGGGGCTTGTTGGAGCTAACACATAGCCCTGGTGAAGTCTATCAAAATGATGTAACATAATGCATGCAAAAAAGTTAAACCCTGTGTCAATATTTTGCATTTTCAAGGTCTGTTACGGTTGCTTTATATTGTAGCAGTAAATATACAAAGCCAAAACATCTGATATCTTTAAAAAAATAACAATTATTAATCGTGGCTTTTTGTAACATTTTCTTTATTCAGGTGCCTATAATCAAAATGACAGACCAGAAAACCAGTGTGAAAGTGGACATAAGCTTCAACGTCCCAGCTGGGTTAAAAGCAGCCGACTTCATAAAGGTAAACCTTTTTGAATGGCTTTCCATCATCTTTGTCTGAGGATGCAATGATATTATTTGCCCAGTAGTGTGTGGCTGATGACAAACTTTTAAACAAAAAGCTTGCCATATTTACCGTGTAACAGAAAAACATTTTCTTGTAAAATTTATTTTTTAATTTATTATTTTGTGATGTGAATTTTAATCTTTNACTTGTGATGCTGATCATTTGAGACTTTTCTTGTGATAATCATGATATTTACTAAGTTTAGGGTTTAAAACTGAAAGTGGCAGAATTATAATTTTGTCTATCATGTGATTGACAAAGATGCCTTTCATGTGATAATCCAAAATACTGCACTATTCCAGGGGGCTTGTTGGAGCTAACACATAGCCCTGGTGAAGTCTATCAAAATGATGTAACATAATGCATGCAAAAAAGTTAAACCCTGTGTCAATATTTTGCATTTTCAAGGTCTGTTACGGTTGCTTTATATTGTAGCAGTAAATATACAAAGCCAAAACATCTGATATCTTTAAAAAAATAACAATTATTAATCGTGGCTTTTTGTAACATTTTCTTTATTCAGGTGCCTATAATCAAAATGACAGACCAGAAAACCAGTGTGAAAGTGGACATAAGCTTCAACGTCCCAGCTGGGTTAAAAGCAGCCGACTTCATAAAGGTAAACCTTTTTGAATGGCTTTCCATCATCTTTGTCTGAGGATGCAATGATATTATTTGCCCAGTAGTGTATGGCTGATGACAAACTTTTAAACAAAAAGCTTGCCATATTTACCGTGTAACAGAAAAACATTTTCTTGTAAAATTTATTTTTTAATTTATTATTTTGTGATGTGAATTTTAATCTTTTATGCAATGTTCTGTTTCTATAAAAAAATTATATCCATGTTTTTGTCCAAGGGTTTTGAATATAAAAAATTCTTTTGGAAAAAAAATTCATAACTGTAGTAATATATTCTTTGATAAATCTTACCTTGTGTTTCATTACCTGGATTCTTGGCTAGTCCATGATTTGCTTTAAAAAATTTTGGCTGTCTTTGAGAAAAGTTGTTTATTTTCTGTTAGGGGAGGTTGTTGAAATGGTTCCTTATTAATAATAAAAAGAGTCCTTATTCACAACAAAGAGATGTGGCTTTACAAAATATGGTTGTACGAACTAATTAAATATTAAAAGCAATCACAATCAGACAAATTGAAAGATACATTTCTTAATAAAAGATCTTTTAGAGCGTTCCATTTCGACTGCAGGTAAAATAAAATTATGCCCTTGATCTCGCAAACGTCTCTTTCTTTAAGGGGGCAACAGCTCAAAAAATGGGATGTGAGGGATTCTCTGTAATAGTTTTCCATAACTTGCAGTCCCAATTTTTTAATAACCTTACTTATAAGTTATTTGTATATCCAAACCTAAAGGCACGTTTAAAAAATGTCACTATGATCCCGTAACAAAAAAACTGGGGCATAATAATTAACAGGTTAAATAATGTTGTCGGTTGATCTTTAGGGTATGTAAAATATTTAAACACATGTAAAATGAGTTTAAAACAGCTTCTAGCTTATTCAACAACATGTAGTTGTGAAAGACTCGTGAAGGAAATGGTTACCCCGGTGATGGTTTTTTCGGTGTCATTTGAGACTAAAGGCTTTATCCTGAATATCACTGAACATGATTTTTTTTGTTCATGGCACCTAGAAGAGGGTTTGCAAGGCAAACCTCTTTCCTGAAAATAAATTATTTTTTGTCAAAGTTCCTGAATTCCCGAAACTGCAAAAGCAGTTTTATAGGCACGTTGGTATGAGGTGTTAACACACATCTTAATTATTGCACATTCTGTTAATCTTGAGTAACTGGGGAAATGTGCATCCTTGGCTAAATGCAATAAGAATGTAGCAGTAGCTCACATTGAATGGTACTGAACAACACAACAAAAACATCCAGAGTTTATATCCTGTCTCACAGGACTCGAAATTGCGACTGATACGGTCCCCAATGCGACTAACATTTTCTCCTTGGCAACTAAAAATTCTGGTTTAGTCGCCACTTCGGCAACCAGATTTCTTAATGATTTAGATTTAAATTAAAAGAGTTAAGTTAAAACAAACATTTCATCTTATCGTGCTTTGCTTTCATCACAAAAAATGTGCCAAACCGCATAAACAAAGCCAGTTTACCTCCAAATTTATATCGACTTCTGTCTGTGATATTTTCAAACAATCAAATATGATGGATTGTGCCATACTATGAGCTGCATCATTTACATTATATAAACTGGCGACTGAAAATTTGCATCTGGTGACTATATCTCTCCAGTTTGTAGCCAAAAGGCGACCTGAGAAACTTTTTTTATTTTGAGCCCAATCTCAGCAAAAACCCCAAGTGGTTGACTGGTTCTGTTTTTTAATTATACAGGATCAGATAGAAATTTTCCCTTGCCTTGAACCCTTGGTGCTTGTCCTAAAGCAATTCTTACTTCAGCGTGACCTTAATGAAGTATTCACTGGTGGGATCAGTTCATACTGCCTTATCTTGATGACTATCAGCTTCCTGCAGGTGCGTGATTTGTGATTCCCAAATGTGTTCAATACAGGGTTAAATAAAAGTCAGGTTTACAGCCTACTCGATGAGCAAGCTTTAGCTACAATCTTGGACAAAACTGTTGAGAAAATTGCATACTTGGGAAGCATTTTTCTAAACGTCATAGCCGTACCGGTTCTTCCCTCTCCCCCTTCCCCTGAAAGTAATGTTGTGTATTCAAAAGAAAGCCTGATCCCTTGGCGTTGGTAGGAAGCAACATTGAATTGGGGGAAGGGGTTTTCTTTCCCCAAAGGCGTCGTTTTGGAAATAGTTTTGTTGCGTGGGAAAGTGGACAAGATGGAGAAAACTTTCACAAGTAGTTTTGTCCTGGATTGTAGCAGGTACTAGCCCAATGGTAACTAACCTGAATTTTTTGACATACATGTTAATGATTAATTTATTATTGTTAATTAATCAGTTACTTGCTTTATTTAATCACTGTAATAAAAGAGATAATTTCACTTTGCCAGATCAGCTAGAAAAACAGCTTTTGATCCACATGAAGTTTTCAGGAATTTAAACAATATTTGTCTCACAGTACTTCTGTAATTTGTATTCCCCCAAAAAACTTCACTGGCCCATCAGGTAAGTTAAGAACAGAATTCAGTAGCCCGAGTGCCAATTCCACTAGCCACTGGCTATCGGACATGACTTTCTTTGCACGGACGAGTCATCCAAATAAAAATGTCACCTTGGGACGGATACAGGACTGAAAACAAATACGTAAAAGTACAACTATACCCTCTTTCCTTCCTTCCTTCCCAAATTTACAATTTTATAAGAACGACACCTGTACTACTAAATGATAATTTTCCAAAATAAATATTTTCCTCTAACTTTTTTCACATTTTTCACACAGCACCGTAGAACACCTCCTTCAAAGAATCTTGGAGTGCTTTTGATTGAATTCTTTGAACTATATGGTAAACATTTTAACTATACAAATGTTGGAATCAGGGTCAAAGATGGTGGCACGTACTTTTGCAAGCATGAGGTGAATGAGCAAAATAAAATATTTTATGGCTATAACAGACTATTTTCTTTAATACTACTGGTAAATACCACACTGTACCCAGCCCTATCAAAACATGTAGGTGGGCAAAGTCTGCATTCAATTTTATTGTTTGTTTCCTTTGTTTGACGGGAACTCACACCTTTTTAAATAGTGGTGATGATGATGATGATGATGATGGTGATGATGAAATTCCTTTAATAATACTCTGTAGGGTTTGTGAAGGGAGTAACAGCCATTTCTTTTATTCAGCCCTTCAGACACTGCAACAAACCCACTTTTTCTGTAACAATTAATTTTATTTCTCGGTTCTTTGTCATTTAGGTTATGCGTGGTATGAATGATGTGTATAATCAACCTGCTCTCCTGTGCATTGAAGATCCTTTCACACCAGGTAAACAGAACATACCATATTTCCTCGAATAATATCTGTCCCTCAATTAATTGGCCCTCTCAAAAAATTGCCCCCCCCCCCCTTTTGACAGAAATATTTAAGCAATATTTAAGGAAATGCGGTACCTTCAGTGTGAAAGTTGCACCCTATATGCTGTAGCTGTGTGACATTTGGGGTTTATCATTGTAGTGAAAAATGTTTCAATTCACCAGGCAACTGCAGGTGTCAGTCACTATATTTGTCCAAAGACCTTCAGTGCTGTATGGGCTGCCTAGAGTCATAGCTTATGCTGTGATGTTCTTGTGCTTTTTGTGCTCCCATAGTGATGTTTTTCTCCTAGGACTTAGTAGACAAAGTATTCAAGAATAATTCCAAATTCGGATGAGAAGTACCAAGCCCTCCGTGTTAATTCACCCTCCCTCTTATTCTTTAGATTTCTTATAATATTAGTCACCTCTCCAGGGGTTTCATTAAAAATTGCAGTAGTAGGAGAATAGTGTAAAGTAACAGGAGAATATTTTGAAAGAGTGAAGCCCTTTTCCGGAAAGAGCTTGAAAATAAATTTTGCATTTTAAACCCTGCTGGGATGGCTACTCTCTGTCTGACTACTTTCCTACTGTCTAATAGCAAATTTTATTTCTCTTGGCTCCCTCAGGGAATATAAACACTGCACACATCTACATGGTTTAAAAACATTTTTTCTTTGAATTAACGGGCATATTGTTAAATTATGATCGACTTCTAACCCTGTTACACACTCCTAGAGTTGTGACATTTGGCTCTATCTTATTAAATACCAAACATACCAAAGAGTGGAAATAAAATAATTCTCTATATGCTTTTACTTCAATTCAATATTTTAAAGATGTTTTCAATAGTGAAAGCACGGGCCATGAGAAACTTTTCCCGACTCTGTTGGCGAAACGTGCTTGCACTAGACGTAACACATTTAAACAAATTCGCTCTCAGCACAAAACTTTGCATGTCTGGTTTAATAGAGATCTATCAAATATTGACGAATATCTCCTCTTTGTTTCCTCTGCAGTGAGCATTTATAATGTGCCAGTTTAGAAGTCATTGTTAAAATAGAAAAATCTCAAAATTTGCATTTGCTTCGTAGTAATTTGATACTCTGTCATTTATATATGGAAAAGATCACCAAATTTTTTTCCATAGCAGTTCACAAAGAAATCGTTCTTTTTATTCATAAAGGTACTTGATTCTTATCGCTTAAACTTTTCTCGTCATAACTTTGCCACTATGATTTGTTCATCATGTACTTTTTTTGTTTCACGTTTTGCCTTTATTAGTATTTCTTCATTTAATAATTGTTCGTGTGCGAATTAAAAAGTGTCGAGCATACAGTCAACTTTCCACGCTCAGCAAACCGCCTAATATTTTACACGTCCCCTGTTAGTTTTGTTGAGCTTAACTGCTAGAATTTAAATAAGGTTTTATGTATTTGTTATTTATTTAGGAATGTAAAGCAAGTGGATAAGCACTAAAATTACACATTTCTGGGAATAATAATTTCTTTTTACATAACATATCCACGTCTGATTTGTAAAATAGCCATACTTCAATGCGTAATGAAACCCCTGCCTCTCTCCTAACCACACTCAACCATCTCCGCCTCTGTCAAGGGCTTTCAATTAGACTGGCACCTGCCAGTGCTCTGTCAGGGTATCCTGTTGTGAATGATCAATTATATTAACTGAATGTTTAGTAGAATGTTCTTAATTGCTTAAAAAGGCTCTGCTTCCCCTACCCCCTCTAGCATAAGCCAGACGACTCAGTGACTCTGGTCTAGCTAGGATTGCATCGTCTTTTTCTTGCATGTAATTAAGCTGGTAGGACAGTTTCAGTGCTTTTTTATCAAGTTTGTTTGAAGATATTGATCTCTGAATGATATCTGACTTACCAAGCTCATTACAGTGAGACTACTGTAACCAGGGCCGCTTAGACAAAGTTGTCCAATCATATTACGGGACAATAACAATACATTCTAAGAAAGTTGGTTGTGGACCAGTCAGCAGCTCGTAATAAGAACAGTAAGTTGCTCGAAGCCCCAAATTTAACTATTTTATTAATATAGCAAAATGTTTTTCAAGAAAGCAAAATGTTTTACCAGGCAATGGTTTCTATTCTAAACATTACATACAACACCCAAGAGACATATCTGTCTGACACAAGCTGTTATTTTGTCATACATCAGCAATTTCTTTGCTTCCATTGCTGCGCTTTGCAATAACATGCTACCTCAAGTCGAAAATGTAACTAACATTTACATTTTTTTGCCTCCGTCATTCACCTTAACAGTCCTCTCAGTAAATGGATGCTTTCATTGACGGGTTCAAAAGGTCACATCTGTAGGTTGTGATTGGTTAATATCAGTCTATGTTGTTGATTTCGTTTCATGGTTTATGATTGGCAACTAACTTTCTCGGAATGTATTGTTATTTTCCGGTAGTCTGATCGGTCAACTTTGTCCAGGTGGCCCTGGTTATAGTAGTTACACTGTAATATTATTTCTGAGGAGTTTTAAATAAGCCTGTCGTCACCCGCATGTGGCTTTTTAGAAAATTCATGATTCAAAATAGTTATTATTGTGTTGTTGGTGGTTTACAGAGAACTACATAGGCAAGAGTTCGTATAAATTCATGGAGCAGTTCGTCCGGAAACTTATACGGATACTTTGGAACTCGTTTGGTGACAACTCCCTATAACTGTTCTGAAGACTGTCCGTTCTTTCACAATATTAAAAGAATTATTTTCCAAACCTTCGCCTTCAAAGGGAACCATTTCTCTTTGGCTGATACTGTAGAATGGAAACATATCTAGCTAGAAAATTTTTTTTTTTATAAGACTTATCTTCTACAGCAGGTAAGAATAAAGTTTGTCTAGTTATCTATTTGGTAGTCTTCTACTCCTAAACCAGAAGGCCTGGCCCCAGTTTTTCAGTAGGTGGATAATGCTATCCATTGGATAAATGACTATCCACTGGACAGCGCAATTGGTTTTGCTAAGACTTATCCATTGGATAGTTATTTATCCGGTGGATAGCGCTATCCATCTTTTGAACAACCGGGTGTGGTTTAAATGTATGATACTCTCCCCCTGCCCCCCCCCCCCAAATTGAGTGTTGTTTGCTATAACTCTTAAGTGTGGAGGAGATAGCATATTGTTTTAAGAGTTTTTTTGTTTTGTTTGTTTGTTTGTTTGACATTAACTGTTTTTTGACTAGCAGACTCCATGGTGATGAAGGTGGTTATCTTGGGCGGGTTGTTTCAGTGAAGGATGATGTAGTAGAGTATCGAGAATGGGTAGAGAGTGTCTGGGCACAATACAGTACTCCATTGATTACTCAAGTTAGCTGCCCAACAGTTCCAACGTATGCAAGCATAGCAAACAGGCATGCCCAGCCTGGGAGTGTTATAAAGACTCAAGGTGTGACATTGCAGGACATGTCCAACAGAAGTGCCACTTGGCCTAGCTGTAGATCACAATCAAACGTGGAAACAGCTGTGTTTGAAACCAGAATGGCCGTGCAGAGGGAGTGGCAACAAAGTACAGACTGCCTTTATACTCTCGCTGGTGGTATTAGAACAAAACCAAGTACAAACTCAGTGTGGACAGCAACCTCTGTTCGAAAACTGGCAGATTCACTTGCCCAAGACAATGTTGCCAGGAAAAAAGGAGGTAATGAAATGAGGACTGCTGACAGTGTTCGGATAACAAAGCTATCGTCAAACTCAAAACCTTCACCCACAAACTCTAATCAGATAACTCTGTCTTCAGAAGTGAACTCTTACTCGGCAGTGACAAAGCACTCAAGGACTGCAACTTTAAAGGAAAATCTTCCTACTTCAACAAAGACCAGTGTAGTCAACTTGACAGCTAAATCTGTGTTAGATTCAGGTGCAACATCAACCAAAACTTCTGCAGTTGCACCATCATCAAAGTCAAAAGCTGTGTCAGCGTCACAGCAAATGTCAACAAACAATTCTTTTGCAATTGACTCCATGTCTAAGCCAAAATCAATGTCGCCTGGCTCAGGAAATGCTCTGACTAAGGTGCCTGTAGTTGACTTGACATCCAACTCAAAGGCAGCATCAGTTTCAGGGCAAACTTCGACAAAGTCATTGGGACAGACTTCAGTGAAGGCGCTGGTGAAAATGCCTGAGAATGACTTGGCATCAAAGTCAAAGTCTGTTTCAACTTCAGGACCAGTAAGTGGTGGCTCTCACAAAAAGACTGAGGAACGAAAAACATCAGCTTCTAATAACAATGTAAGTGGCAACCATTCTACACAGAGTTTAAGTTTCTAAAGAATACATGGTTGACATTTTTTGTTTTTTTGAGGCTGAGTGAGAAGTAACTTGAGTTATTCATTCGTTTACAAAACGTTATGGCATGACCATTCTTGGAATGTTTTAATTTAATTTCAATTTTACAAAAAACAAATTGAATAGAATCTTTTTTATCTTTAACTGTGGCTGCTGTTGAAAGTGGTAGGGTCTTCATAGAGATATTCAGCCATGCGTGTACATGTTTATTATAGGTAAGACCTGTTCTCAGGTTCAAACAGTCTTCAATCCAAGTTACTGTCAGGGTTAAAATCCTGACATACAGCTAATGCTTATAGGTAGAGTACAGTTTTTACCTGAAAAGGGATTTTAACTTCAAGTGATTTCTTGTGTGCTGATTGGTCAAGAGCTATGTTTGATAAGAGTACAGACTATGGAAGTGATGTGTTGGCGGCGCAATTTGTTTTTCTCTTTATCGTGCATGCGATTTTCCAAGAAACTTCAACGGAAATGGACATCAAAAACTGTCAGTGTTATTACAATGGAAAACAATAATTTTCCATGGCCCGTTCTCTCATCGATCATAGAAACAACATCAAAATGTTCACAACTTTACAGTAAAACTACTCACCTATGGCTGGTTCCACTCAAGTTTTAAACATTTTGACGTCATTTCTATGGTCAAGAAAAGTACAGATCATGGGAAATTGTTGTTGATTTGTTAATCACCTTCAGCAGAAACTGTGGTTTGCTGGTATTCCTGATGCTCTGACGTTTTGCCTGCGAGCAAGTTCTCTCAACATCGCCCCAATTGAGGGAGCTTTCCTGCAGGCTACCTAATCTTAAATCCTTGCCATACTTAGTACATTTGCAAATTTTTTATACATTTTGGTATTTGATATTAAAAGTAGCAAAATGAGAAAGTAAATGTCACGATCATTTAGAATAAATTATTAGCACCATAATCACTGCAAGTCTTGATTGATTTCTTCGCTTTAATCTTTTGTCACTAGCTGAAGTGCGTTATGTGTGAATTATTAAAGTAGTTATTCTTTTAAAATGTTTAGAATGCAGTGGTTGTCACTTCACCAAAGCTGGTCTCAAAGACCAGTAGTCACCTGAATAAAGACAATGGCATAGGAAGACAAGGCCCCCCAACAACAGTTTTAAACACAAGCAAAAGTAGTAACAACAATCATCAAAATAGCAACATTACTAAAAACACCAATGGTAATTCAAAGGTCTCGTCAAAGCAGAAGAAAGGAAAATCAGCAAAGACTAAGAAGGGCAAAAGTTCGTGACGGAGCACAGAGAAGCCTATCTTAGAATAGGCCTGGTAATGTCTTATAGCTTAAATTATCATTTACTATTTCTGTAACGAAAATATTATAAAAAGTAGAAATTCACTGAACATTGAATCAGTTAAAAAGAAACATATGAATATAGTTTTGAAAGAAAAAGATTAAATTATATATTATTAAGCATTTTAAACAACAACAAAGACATTCCAATATACATGCAATTTCATCCCAGCTTTGTTCCATATGAAGAAGATCAGGTGAATGGTTTCAATTTTTTTTATACTCAGCTTTTTAGTTGTTAATTCTTGAATGAAAATGTTTTCAAACAACCAAGTGTGTAAGTAACACCTGCATGCTGCCCGCAAGTGTGGTGCCAAAGTATTGTTTGTTAATAACAACACAAAGAAATATTTCCCTTCTGCATGTAGTTGAGTTGCTTCCCGCAAGCTGTTCTACCTTTCTTGGATGAGAAAAACTAAAGAAGTGGGGCATACATGTATTTCTTGAGAGCCAATTAATCATCAGCAAGAGAACATACACTGTAGGCTGTTGATATCAAATACAATTTCAATTGGAACTTTAAAGTGAACCCTTCCACTGCAAGGTCAAGTTATAGTGGAACAATTTGGCACTTGTAACTTCTAAATCTTTGGGTGAAATCCTTTGGTATTACCGTTCAAATGAAACCTCTTCAGAAGAACTTTTGTTTGGTGCTATTATTTTATTTCCCATTATGTTACAAATAGAAATTTTCATCATCATTGTTTTTTACATTGCCCACTGTTAAGTAGAGGGGTTAAATTTCTTGACGAAAATCCCCTTATGGTTATGTGATCATACGGTCTTATTTTCTAGTTTGCCAGCTCATTATAAGGTAGAAAGGAAAGGAGACTTCATATTAAGTCCTAATCCGTAATCTAAATGTAATAACCCAGTATGTGACCATAAATCAAAGCTATTTAAAACAAAAATAACTTTCACTCGTCAAAAAAGTAGTGCTAGTTTAGGGCAAGGTATGGTAATATGTAGTGCTGGACATTATGTACGTGGTCAGGCTAATAAGAACGACCTCTGCCACCACAGCTTTGATAAGAAAGAAATAGCTAATTGTTGCCTGTAAGCATGATGTGCATGTGCTTGACCTATTACAACCGTGACGACCACCTTTGGGTGGAGGTGAGATGCCTCTGTAGGTGGGTGACAATCATGAGGAGGGAGGTAGGGGTGTGATGTGACATCATTTTTTTTTGTCAAGGGGAGGGGGCGGGGGGTGGTGGTTAAAACATTTATTTTCATATGATATCCAAACAATGAGAAGTGAGTTGGAAAAAACTTCATATTATTTATTCTTCCTTTGCCACAATAGGTCTTATTTCTTGATGTGTAATGTAAACATTTTTAAGTTGCCACTTATTGTGTTCAATATATTTTTCCTTGTGACAGTATATATACATCTGTGGGTTTGATAAAATACATATTTATATGAAATGGGTAGATTTAATTTTATTATTGTATATTTTAGCATGCTCTGGATTTGATGTTAATTGCTGGCATCTTTAATGCATAACAATGTAAGTCTGAAGTGACCATAAACAGGCAGCATTTTATTTAAGAGCTTTTTTCTCGAAAGTTGTGGCTTACTTCATGATCTACCTTTTCCGCAATGTTGTGTAGCCTTCGTAAATTCCTGATTATAGTTTCTGTTTGAAGATTAAGGCTGTTTCAGGTGTGTAAGTAGGAACCTTTAAGAAACATTGACTAGGAGTACCATATTAAGGATGAGTATTTATGCGTTATTGACCAAGTGCGAGGCCAGGATGGCTGAATATTGGCTGAAATTTTCACATTTTTTTGGACTGAGAGGAAGTTGAGGTCATTAAAAATGCAAAGAGGAACTAGACCAGCACCCAGCCATCTTGACCAAACAACCTTGGTCAACAAACGATTTATTATATGGCCAAGAAAACTTCTTCTTGCAAGACCAGTGGGGGAACTCCTCAAACTGGTAGCCAATCAAATCACAGGATTTTCTTCATCTTGCCTGGCCTGGTCAAGGATTTAGCCATATAATAAAAGCTTTTGAACTAAGCTTGCGTGCTCTAGATCTTCACTTGTGACACCAACCCAGTCCTTCACATATCTCTTTGTTCTGGTGTATAACACGAAAGAGTGGGGCGAGTGTTTAACAACTTAAAACTGCATTGTAAATCATTTTTATATGCTGTGTCCTTTTGTTTATTGTCAACATTGTCGTGTAGGTGTAAAGTGAGTGGGAGCAAAATTATTTTCTGAAACTGACCTAGTTAAGAAGAGATCTCAAGGTCCGCTGATGCAGTAAAACGCAGTCTAAGTTAGATTAAAATATGTTAAGCCCTACGAGATCCAGAGATGTTAGAACTGGCTGGAAATTTTATAGCCTTATTGAACTCCATCTCATACTGTCAAATCTTAAGGTTGTTTGTATGGGGAAGAGAAAAGAAAAATTTAACATGTCGGTGAAAAATAGCCTTCTTCTTTCCAGTGTCAACTTGTGTTTACTCCCTTGTAATACGTGCCTGGCATTGGTTTTTGTTCTCCACTATTCAAATGCGTGCGAGACGATTATTAAAATTACAATCAGATTTACAATTTATTGAAAAAGCTAGATAATATACAAAAAATAAATTAGATTCCTTTTTTCAAAAAAAAAAGTGCAATTATTTGATTAGATTTCGTTTCTTCTTGAAGAAGAATAACATCAATCATAGTTACAGTGGAACCCCATTAATACGGTCACCAATGGGCCAAACAAATTTGGTCGTATTAACCAGGGTTTTTTTTTTACAAGAAAATGTATGACGGTGTTTGCTAGGCCGCCAAAAAAAAGGTGGCCGTAATAACGAGGTGACCATATTACCGAGGTGGCCGTAAGGCGGGGTTTCACCGTAATATTGAAGTACTGAAATAAATAGAGTGATTCATTATTTTGATAGCTGAAAATTATTTGACACCAGTTGTGACTCTTCAGACTTTGGGTGAAAATCTTAATTATTTTTTAATGGCCATTATTGTTTTGTTGATAAGATGTTTATTTCTCAAACTTAAACGTATTTATTTAACGAAGTAGCAGCATTTGTGTTTAGGAAAAATTTTTTAAACTTGCTGCCTGCATGCAAGTTTGCTACAGGTTTTGATTTTCTGTTTGAAATAACAGAACTTTGCTAATAACTTGAAGGATTTCGATATTAGTGGGAAATTACAACCAGCAATATGGTGTATTAATTGAACTTTTTTGTATAATAATGTATATTTTCTTTTTCTGTGCTTGTCTGCTTTTTGTGTTTACACTTTATTGTCGTGTTGTCTTGTTTTATAAATGTGTTATTAATCTCCCCGGTTGTTCAAAAGCTGGATAGCGCTATCTAGCGGATAAGTATTTAGGAAACCAATTGCCAGGGGCGCAGCCAGCACATAGACTTGTCGGCTTGGGCCTACAGATTTTTGGTTTGATCACTCTACTGCTTGTAATAAATTATGCGTTGTTGGAGTGAGCTGTTTTGTTGAGGTCAGTGCGTACTAGTCAGGCGTATAATTTTTGGGATCTGTGGAAATGAAAGTCAGCCAGGCCTACAACTAGCCAAAAAGCTGGCTACGCCCCTGATTGCGTTATCCACTGGATGGAGATTAATCCAATGGATAGGGCTCTCCACCTTTTTAACAACGGGCAGCATTAGCTCTTCATTATTCCAGGCTTGCTTTTAAGGTTATTTTTTTATATGGTCAGTTATAATTAGCTTGGGTAAATTTTTACTTAGACTGCGCTAAAACGTCTATTCTGACTAAACAAAACATAATTTTCTATTTGTTTCTTTAGTACTTTCAGTGTTGCAAGGTTTATTTAAGCACTCTGACATTAACAGAAAAAGTATATTTAGTGTACATGTATGACATCCATTTGTAACCAGTTGCATTTGTAAATTTATTGTACCTCAGCTCAAATAGTTAATGTTTACATTTTTGTAAAATCATCCAATACCATACTCTCCCTTTTCTTCTTGTCACGCAACGCTCTCGAAGAGCGTTGCGTGACGGGGCGAAAACTGCTGCGAGGAAGACTGCCGATACCAGTACCATACCAATTGTAGGAACTCCGTCCTTTCGTCTGAATGATTATTAATTCAGTCACCGGAAAATCTGAGTTAGATTCTCCCAAACAGATGCAGATCCTCAGACCATCTTCCCCCCCCCCCCCCCCCCCCCCCCCCCC